CACCACAGAAATCACTGAAGTCACTGAGTAATTGTGGATTTCCCTTTCTTAGCCAGCAGCAAGTCTCCTAAAAATACTTTTATGAACCACCATGCCCGGCCTCCTCTCCTTTCTTTTAAAAAATATTTTATTTTTATTTTTATTTTTGTATATGAATGTATCACTTGCATGTGTGTAAACACTCTTGTGTCGTGCAATGCCTGTGGAGGTCAGAAGAGGGCGTCAGATCCCTTGGAACTGGAGTTAAGGATGGTTGTTAGCTGCCATGTGGGTGCTAGGAATTGTACCTGGATCCTCTGCAAGAGCAGCCAGTGGTCTTAACTGCTGAGCCATCTCTCTAGCCCTCTCCTTTCTTTTTTTGAGACAGTCTCTCACTGAACCTACAGCTCATGATTTTGGGCTACACTTGTTTTGGGCGAGAATGGCCAGCCAGTGAGTCCTGGGGGTCCACCTGACTCTGGCTTACCTGTGCTGGGGTTATAGATTGTAACCCACACCTGACTTTTATGTGGGTCCTAGGCATCCAAACTCAGGTCCTCATGCTTGCACAGCAGACACTCTGCCATCTCCCCACTCCCACTTGCTCATTTTTATTCAGTCTAGAACCCCAGCCCATGGGATGGTGTGACCCACATTCATAGTGGGTTTTCCCACCTCAATGAACCCAATCTAGAAACACCTCACAGATATACCTAGAAGTTTGTCTCCTAGGTGATTCTAGATCCTTTCAAGTTAACCACCACAGATGTTGAGGATGGCTGAGAGGCTTAAGGTTCCAGAGCCCTGAAGGTTGCAAAGGTCAGAGGTCACAGGCAGAGGTAGACGAAGACAGTGAATGAAGGCTTCAGGGAAGAGCTTGAAAACTGGGTTTTGATTGATTGGTTCTGAGCTGACTGGGGCAGAAGTGTGGTGGGTGATTGGATGTGTGAACCTGGAATTCGGGGGAAGTGATTTGGAGGAGTTATCGGCCTGTGGAAACTGTGAGGACAGAGGTGGTCACCTGCAAGTGGATATGAAAGGGAGACCAAGCGAATGGGGCATGGAGCTCACTTGATAGCGTGATAGCATGCAGGCAGGAGGCCCTGGATTCAGTCCCTAGCACCAAATAAAATTGGTTATGGCAGTACACATCTCTATTCCCAGCACTTGGGAAGTAGAGTCAGGAGGATTGGGAGCTCAAGGCCGTCCTTGGCTACATATTGTAATCAAGGCTAGCCTGGGCTACAATTGACTTTATCCAAAAATAAATAAAGACTTGAGAGACAGCTCAGTGGGCAAAGGCAATTGACACTGAGTCCAAAACTCTGAGTTCCATCCTAGGGATACACACGGTAGAAGGAGAGAACCAACTTCTACAAGGTGTCCTCTGACCTCCACGTGTGTGCCTGTGGCACATGCCCCACCCCCATCATGCACACACACACACACACACACACACACACACACACACACAAATTTAAAGCAATTTTTAAAATAAATGTAAAAGACCAGGCATTGTAGTACATGCCTTTAATCCCAGATCTTGGGAGGCAGAGGCAGGCAGATCTATATGTGTTTGAGGCCTACATGGTCTACACAACAAGTTCCAGGCCAGGTAATGCTACAATACTGAAAAATCTGTCTCAAAAAACAAAACACAACTAAATTAATTAAAAAGTTATCATGCCAAGGGCTGGAGAGATGGCTCAGTGGTTGAGCACTGACTACTTTTGCAAAGGACCTGGGTTCAGTTCCCAGCACAAGCATGGCACCTGACAACTGTCCATAACTCCAGTTCCAGGGGATCGGTTACCCTCTTCTGGCCTCCACAGGCTTTGTACGACATGGTGCACTTACATACTTGCAGGCCAAATGCTCATACACATAAAATAAAAATAATAAATATTTTCTTAAAAAAGTATCATGCCAGCCAGGCATGGTGGTACACACCTGTAGTCCCAGCACTTGGGAGGCAGAGGCAGGTGGATCTCTGTGATTTCAAGGCCAGCCTGGTCTACCCCCAGGACAGCTGGGGGTACAGGGAGACCCTGCTTCAAAAGGACAAAAAAAAAATCTTTAATTTATATAAACCATTGGCTTATATATTGAAAAAAACAGGAACTACCAGGCATGAGGCTCTTATATTTCTATGAAATGTCTAGAAATCATGGAGACAGAAAATAGATTTTCAAGGGCTGGAGATGGTGTGAAAGAAAATGACTTTTAATGGGTTAGTGGTGTATTTGGGGGATGACAACGTGATAGAACTGGAAAGGAGTGGTAAGTGTACTGTCGTTTTAAGGTGTGAATAACAGTGGCAAAAGTTTTGTGATGTGTATTTTACCACTCTATATTGGTATAGCCTTGAATACCTGTCTCCCTGCCAGACCCCTAACACTTTCCCTGGTTTTCTCTGCCCGCAGAGAATTGCATCCCAAGGATTCAAAATAGCAGACTGCAGAAGACTCGACTGTTGGCAAACTGTCAAGAAGCTTAGGGGGGCCAGGTACCCTTAAGACTCTAAAGACCCGGCCCTGGAGTGGGTCTCAGGAACCAGGAATCATCCTCCTCCTTTTCCTCCTTTCCTCACAGGTCCCCCAGGGTGCTGTGCACCCCGACTGTAAAAAACAGAGTGCTGAAGACACCGGGTGTGGGGGGATGCTCTCTCTCTGGTAGACACCAGAGCTTAGACATACGTTTATGTATTGGAGAGGGTGGTGGCGGGGCAGGAAAAGTCTGGGAGAAATTCAACTTCGTAGACACTAAAAACCTGAGACTGAGACTCTGTCAAAGTCCTGCCTCGGTGCCCTTGTGTGCGCGCGTGTGCGTGCATATACGTCCAGTGAGTGTGCATGTGCGCACACATGTGCGTGCGGTCACCCAGAGGGGCAACTTGCAAGGCAGGGAGAAGGAAGGGGTCTCCACTGACCTCGCCCCGTGCTCCAGATGGCTCTGATTGGCTAGGACTCAGGAATCCCAGCCAATCCAGCCTGAGGGTCCTATTTTTCTTGAGCTCGGTGGGACCAGCCCCTACACTGGAGCGAATCCGCCAGGTGGACCCAACTACCCTGGTGATCCAGCTGGGTGTCTACAGCGGTCTGGTGAGGCCAGGGAGGATGGGACTCAGGGTGGGTTCTGGAGCTGGGGGAGGTCGGAGCTAGCTGCTCCCCTTCGGCCCCACGGAGCCCCTCTTTCCGCAGGACCTACCACCTCTCTGGATGTTGGATGTTGAAGCCCAGAAGCCCCCTCCGGGCAAATGGACCACACCGCACTTCGACCCGCGCTTCCCCAATCAGAACCAGACCCGTAACTGCTACCAGAACTTCCTGGGTGAGACTCGGTGGGCCAGATGGGAGCAGTGTGAGTGTCGCGGGGAGGCCGGAACCGGAACACCCGCGGAGACCGTTGGAATGGGAGGCAGGCCGCAGCCTGGGGGGGCGGGGCCTGGAGAGGGGAGAGGCGCGAGGTCTGGATGGGATTGAACCTGCAGGGGCTGGTTGAAACAGACAGGGCCAGGAGGACCCGGCCTTGCAAGGACTGGGCAGCGCCAGAGCGAGGGGCGGGGGGACAGGAATGAAGGTAGGGGACCAGGAGTGAGGGTAAGGGGCCAGGAGTGAGGGTAAGGGACCAGGAGTGAGGGTAAGGGACCAGAAGTGAGGGGCGGGACCAGGAGTGAAGGGCGGGACCAGGAGTGAGGGTAAGAGACCAGGAGTGAGGGTAAGGGACCAGGAGTGAGGGTAAGGTACCAGAAGTGAGGGGCGGGACCAGGAGTGAAGGGCGGGACCAGGAGTGAGGGTAAGAGACCAGGAGTGAGGGTAAGGGACCAGGAGTGAGGGATGGGTCAGGAATGAACCAAGCCTGGAATGAAGGAAGGCATCAAGAGTGAGGGTAAGGGACAAGGAGTGAGGGTAAGGGACCAGGAGTGAGGGCCAGGAGTGAGGGTAAGGGACCAGGAGTGAGGGTAAGGGACCAGGTGTGAGGGTAAGGGGCCAGGAGTGAGGGTAAAGGACTAGGAGTGAGGGGCGGGACCAGGAGTGAGGGGCGGGACCAGGAGTGAGGGTAAGGGACCATGAGTGAGGGATGGGTCAGGAATGAACCAAGCCTGGAATGAAGGAAGGCATCTGATCGGGAAGGGGTGGGACAGAATAAAGGAGCGGCGGGGTGAAATACTGAGAGCAAAGGAGAGGCGGGGTCTCCTGAGTAAAGGGCATCTCCTGGAGTGAGGGTGCGGAGTCAGGTATGAAGGGAGGCACCTCACCTGGAGGGGGCTGGAATTGAATCCTGGAGGGACAAGGTGAAGTAGACTGAGCCAGAGCAGGCGGGGCTTCCCCAGTCGGTGGGGCTCAGTCTAGAAGGGAGTTTGGCTGGAGAAACTAGGACGCGGTGGGGTCTGGGGTCGGGGAGCCCGGTTGGTTAGAAAAAGGTGAGACCGTCCTGGAAGAGTAGGACCAGCTAGGTGGGGGCGTGGCTAGAGAGGAGGGGCGTGGCCTGTCCTGGACTGGGTGGGGCTTTGCCTCCTGACCCTATTCGGAGGCCTTCCGCAGACTACCACCGTTGTATGAAGTCCACGAACCGCCGCGGGAAGAACACACAGCCCTGCGAGTACTATTTCCGCGTGTTCCACTCACTGTGTCCCATCAGCTGGGTGAGAGGGCGGAGCGGGGCTGGCAGAGCGGGTGGAGGCCACAGGCCCCCGGCTGAGCCGAGCCAGCCATCGCCTTGGACCCTGCCTCCCCAGGTGCAACGCTGGACCGAGCAGATCAAGCAAGGGACGTTCGCCGGCAAAATCTGACTCCCTTTGGAGGCATCAGCCCCCAGTGACCGTTAGCCTTCTGCCAAGACTCAGCCTTGGTTTCCAACCTCCAACCCCAGTCTCTAAGCCACAAATAAACTTATAGTGCTGCTAATGTTTCTTCTTCCTGGGCTTTTTTGGACAGGGTCTCATGTAGCCCAGACTGGCCTCGATCTCACTATGTAGTCAATCCTGGCCTTGAATTCCTGATCTTCCTGCTCCATCTCCCAAAATCTGGGATGGCAAGCATCTGCCACCATGCTGGTGTTTCTCCAGCTGTAAACCAAGATGGCTCAGAGTCCCGTTATCAGAAGCAGGGCGGCAGAGTGAGTGAACTCAGACTGGCTGGTCCCACCCTTGATGACCAGCCTACCATCTACCCCCACAGGTTGCTCACCACCTACCAAGGGCATGCCCCAGATGGTCTGGGATGACTTCACCTAGAGACCTTGGCCTCAGGGCTGTCTGACCACAACCTGAGAGGGAGAGGCAGGGTGGAGGCACAGGGTGTGGGCTTGGCTACAGCAAGGGGCTAGACTCTCACCATCCCCAGGGGTGGCACTGATGATAGAAGAGTAGCTGACCAGTGTGCACTGTCACATTGAAAGTGGTCAAAAGCTGCCTGAGGACTTAGTGATGTCACTCAGGTAGTGTCCAGAGCACAGGACCATCAACTGGGCAGCAACCCTTTGTCCTGCCCAGAGCCCAGGGTCTGGACGCCATGTTCTTCAATGTCCAGTCTTGCTGCAGCCTCTCCTTTTGGGCCCCATCACTTAGCAGTCCATAGATAGCCTCCCTTATCCCTTGACTGCTCCTCACGCTAATTCCTTGTTCCAACCCTTTTAAACAAAAGGCCAAGCCGGCCTCAATCCTCTCTCCTCCACTTTCTGAGGTTTCTAAGTGTGTTGCCACCAAACTGGGCCTTACTTCAGGATGTTTTTCTTTATGAGTGTTCTGCCTGCATGTATGTAAATGCAATGCCTGTGGAGGCCAGAAGGCATCAGATTCCCCTGGAACTGGAGTTACTGACTTGTGAGCTGCCATGTGGGTGCTGGGACCCAAACCCCAGTCCTCTGCAAGAGCAGCCATTGTTCTTAACCGCTGAGCCATCTCTCCAGTCCCAACTCCATGGTATTCTTAAACTACTGGTCACCCCTTGCCCATACCTAAAGGTGAGGGGCCAAACTTTGCTTGCAATCTGTATACTGCTCTCCCCAGGCCCCTCATCTAGTGTTACCTATATGCACGTGGATGGCCTCCAAGACCTTCAGTGCCAGCCTGTCTCTTGGGAGCCTCACCGGGTGGGCTCATTCTCTTCTCCACTCCTAACACCTGCAGCCCGGCTCTCTAGGCCTCTTTCCTCTCCTCCCTCCTCCACTGCGTCTCTTCTTTCCTCTCTGTAGTCCCCACCTCCCTCAGAACCTGCTCCTTGCTTGGGCTACTGACAGGCTGTGCTTCCTGGGCAGGAGTCAGAACTGGCTCTACTGCCCTTTGAGCTTTGTTCTATAGACCAAGACCCCACCTCATGTCAACACTGGCTCTCTCCACAGGGTACTATGTCTCCTGGAGGCATCTGATCATCCTGTACCCTTTTTCTAGGGGGAGAGAGTCTGGGATGGGGCACTGCAGCACCATCACCTGGAGAATAAGCACCCAGTTCCCACAGCGGTTCTTTTTCCTTTTGTGGTACTGAGGAGTAAACTTAGGATATGCCAGGTCAGCACTCTACCACTGAACTAAGTCCCCAAACTTTTTACTCTCAGGATACACTAGGGAGTTCAAGGCCAACCTGGGTTACAAGACCCTACCCCACATATACCAAGGCTGGGCTTCTGGCCTCCACCCATGAGATGTAGGGTCATCTGGTTGAGAAGTGAAAGGACCTAAGTCCCTACATGGCCTCAGGCAAGTCATTTCATTTTGTTTCTTGGGTATCCACTGCCGCCTCTGGAAAACCTGAGAATACTTTCCCATGAGAGAAAGTACGTGGTTATTTCCTATGAGCACCGTTTTTGTGGTGACAGGGCTTTATCTCAGTACAGCAGTCCCCAGAACCCACTCCCCCTCACCCTTCTTAAGGCCTGTCCCCCTACCCCACCTGAGGCGGTGCCACCTCATCTGCCCAGTAAGGTTGAAGTCTCACCTTCCTGGCTGCCAGCTCCTAAAACATAAACCAGAAACTTCCTAGAACACTGCTTGTAAGAAGGTTTTAATAAAAAGTTCAAGTGCTTCCAATCCCCCCACATACCCCGTGTTCTGGTGTGGGGAGGAGAGGGAGCCTTCCCCACACCCAGTAGCACCAGGGATAGCACCATGAGAAAGACGGGTTGCACCCGGCCTCCCTGAGACCCATGGGGCAGGGCCAAGGATGTGCTCCAGAGCACTACCCAATCCATCTGACTGCCCCTGCCTCCAACAGCTGCAGAGCTGAGAGCAAACCCACTCCCCATGGTGGGGCAGCCCTGGGACGGCACCCCCAAATCAGTTTCATCTGATACCTGGGCTTCTGGGGAGTCGCCATGGGGTGGCCCCCACCCCCTTATGGCTTTGCTCCCTGGGGAGGAAAGGGCTGAGAAGGGGATGGCTCTGGCTGTCCTGAGGTGAGGGCAGGGATGGAGAAGGGGACAACAAATGGCCAGGGCTCCCTGCTGGGGTGGGGTTGGCTCAGGGGTCAGCAGTGACTGAGGGTCAGGGATCAGATCCCTTGGGATGTCCTAAGTAACCCCCCTTCCAGGATCAGACCTGGGCTGGAGTCAAAGGTCAACTCCTTCCTCCCTTCCTGGAGGGAGCTTAGGAGAGATTCTACACTCCAGTCTGGGCCTTGCAGCCCGCAGCCTATCATGGCTCATCACTGTTGATGTCCAAGTCAATAGAGCCATGACTGACCACCAGCCGCAGGCGCTTATGTGGGGAGAAAGGGGCGAAGGCAAGGGCCTGCTTAGGAATGGGGACAGGGGTGGGGACAGGGCCTGGGGTCCCAGCAGGAGCAGGGGCAGCTGGTAGGGCTGGGGCCAGGCGTTTAAGGTCCACACGCACCACGTAAGGCAGCCCATAGCGCCGGGCCCAGTGCCAGTCTTGTTGTGGAGTCCAGCGGGTTTTGGGGAGCAGGCCCAGGGCCACCACAGCCTCAGCCTGTAGGCAGCAGTGGGAACCACAGCCTCCCCATTGGTGTAGGGAGACAGAGGCAGCACGGAGGACGGGGGCTGCTGAAGGCCTGTGGAGCCGTGGGCGTCGGCGCTTCCGGGGGCGTACTCTGGGCTGGGGCTGAGGCACAGGCAGCCACTGGAGCCAGAGGGGCAAGTAGTCCAGGTGGGGGCTGGCAGGGGGCAGGCGTAGGGGCTGGCAGGCGGCTGTGAAAACAAAGCACAGGCCAGTCAGCAGGACCCCAGCAGCTCCTCCTCTGGAAAAGGGGGAAATTCTGTACCAGGCTCTTCAGAAAGGTGACCCAAAGACTAGAGAATAGGGTGGTTGCCAGCAGCCTGGGCTCACCACAGAAGGGGTCTCGGCGCAGTGGGGACAGGTGAGAACAGGCTCTCAGGCCCAGCAGGTTCTGCTGGCAGCTGTCCCCAACACGCTGTAGTCGCCGCTTTGTCTCCCGGAGCTCATACTTGTCCGAGGGCTGTGGCAGCAGCTCCAGCTGCCTGGGCTGAAGTCGGAAGGCTCCTTCGCCTTTCCTGGAGTCGGGTGGGGGGACAAGGACAAGGGAGATGCTGAATGATGTGCTCTGGGGTGGCTCCTGAAGGTGCATCTCAGCCAGGGGACCCTGACCTCCCGTGGCAGGCTGGCTGTGCCGCACTCCGCTGCCCACGCTTGTGCCCACCTCTCGCAGGTGTAGCATTCACAGTGCTCATTCTTCTCACCGAAGAAGCCCTCGCCATAGAAGCACGTCACCTCATCCCCTGGCTCAATGTCCCGGAGCACCTTTACGCAGGCGTTGTTTCCATCTGAGGGTACAAACTGAGGCCACGCCCACTCAGCTCCCGGGTCTGGGGCACGGGGCAGGGACTGTCCAACTCCTCAGCCTGGCAAGGCACCCTGGCTCTGTAATGGGCTGGGCCACAGCTGAGCACCCTCCCCTCACACCACCATTTGCTGGCAGCAGTCAGGCCCTGAGCCTGTCCCCTACACGCAGTCCCTGAATAGTTTGCCTTCTGGCTGGTGTCCACCCCTCTGCATGGCGATGAGCTAACCTGACCTCCCAGCAGAACTCCATGCCAGCAGAGACCACGCCCTCTTGTGCTCCTCCTCTGGCTTGTGGCCAGTGCCAAGCTGCACCCCTCAAACCTACTATCTCCAGCACAGCCCCTCAGAGACACTTGCTCCCCGCCACCCTGCTGATGACGGCCTTCTCTCAAGGCTTGTGTCTACTCAGCAGACCAATCCCCCTCTGGCCTTGCCTTTGGGATCACTCACCCCAAGGCTACCCTACTGACTCCCCACTCTTGTCTTCCTCCCACACCTACATCTGCCTCTGCCCTCCCTACCTGGGAGGGAGTACGGTCACCAACCATCTGGTCACTCAAACTTGACACCCAAAGTGTCCCAGGAGGCCTTCCTACCTGATGGTCCCCAGGTCAAGGGGTCAGCACCTCCCAAGTGTGTCACATGCATGCCTGCCCTCCTCTCAGCGTGCTCCTCTACCTTGAGTTGGCCCCTCACCATCTCAAGGCCAGTTACCTGCCAACCTCCTCATGGCTACCTACCCTCCAGAGTCTCTTCTTATCCCACTAAGCCTCCAAGCAGGCATACTCAAAGGAGCTTCCACAACTCAGCTCACTTGCCTGGCTATCACCATCCTTAGACACAGGATACCTCATCAGAGCCCCCAGTCCTCAGACAAGAGAATGTCCTGCCTGCTCATACTCTTGATTTCCTTCAAGGCTTAGGAAAACCTTACTCCTTCAAAGCCTGCCGGTTCCAGATCACTAAGCTCACTAAGCGAGCTGGCCACTGTCTGTATACTAACTGCCCTTTGCTTTCTGTCCCACCCAGCATCTGGATACAGGGCAAGGGGCCTGGTGAGGGCTGTGCGTCATTCATCCTGAGAGCCTCTGACACATGGAACAAACCCGTGTAGTCTCAGATGTCCACCACCTGACCCCAGCAACCGTCTTAGGGGGTGTCTGACAGGAGAAACCTGAGGCCAAGCAGTACAGCCAGGACTCCTCCCTGTTCTCATTTGGGAGGATGAGGTGGCCTAGAACTCCCTTGTAGACCAGGCTGGCCTCCACTTTGCAGTAATCCTTCTGCCTCTGTCTCTGCCTCCAAAACACTGGTATTATAGGTCTGAGCCAGGATGCCTAGCTAAAACTCTGCTTTTGTTTTTGCTGGACCTGAGAAGTGAACACATGCTGGGCAAGAGCTCTACCACTGAGCTATATCCCTCACCTCTTTAAAACTTGAGATATGGGGGGTTGGAGAGATGGCTCAGTGGTTAAGAGCACTGCCTTCTCTTGCAGAGGTTCAATTCCCAGCATCCACATGGTGGCTAACAAACGTTTGTAACTCCAGTTATGGGACTCCAACGCCTTCTTCTGACCTCCATTGCCAGATATGGGTGCACTTACACTACACTCATACACATAAAATATTTTGGTTTTTTTTTTTTTTTTTTAATTTGAGATACGGTTTCACTAAGTCTGCCCAAACTAGTCTGGAACTTACAATTCTCTTGCTTCAGTCTCTCAAGAAGTGGAGACGACAGGACTGCACCACCATGGCCCGCCAGACTTCCCAAACACATTATAACAAGCCCCTGCCAGTTGCTTCCTCCTCATTGTGCCCCTACACTGAGAGCTTCCTACTGGACCCTTGACCTCCTGGGGTTCTCTCTGCCCTCCCCCCTGCTTCTGCCATCAAAGCTCCCTGGGTAAGATCAGCCACCTGCTAATCTGTCTCCTATCACACACCAGGACCCACTGAGAAAGCAACTCCAGTGCTGACATGACTGTGCCAACACACCCAAGTCCTTCCTCTTCCTCTGTTGTTTTTAGGGACACCTCTTCTCATGCAGCTGGCTCCTGGTACTGCCACCAACCACAAGGGGCTGCTAAGGACCAATAACCTTTCTGTCAAGTGGGATAGACAAAAAAATCTTTCCCTGTGCTGGGACCCCTCACTTCCCACATGCCTTCTCCCAGGGTCAGCAGGCCTTACCTTACAGTTGGGTTTGCAGTCTGCAGCCAGTCAGGTGGACGAGAGAGAGAAGAGGCCAGTGAGCAAGTGAGAGGGTAGCCCCGTGTCCCTGCCTCGCATACCCCCTGCCCCCCAGCAACTTCTCTCTGGCCCTGCCCTCACCATGGTTGATGAAAGCAGCTGGGCCAAGCCACAGCTGGGCACTCCTTTTGCGGGTGGAGTACATGATGCTGAAATCGTTCTCCCCGGCCCTGAGCAGCCCCTCATCCGCCTCGCGAAGCTCGGCGATGCAGCCCACCAGCAGCTCCACCTTCTCGTTCTTCTTCCTGCCAAGTGGCCCAGGCTATAGGGCTCTGATCACTGCTGCCCAGTCCTTGCTGGAGATAAAGGCCTCTAGCGCAGGAGTACCCAGTGAACTGGAGCTCCACCGGGCAGGGCCAGATTCTTCCATTCTCTCTCCGTTCTCACTACCCCGCCCCCATGCCCTCTGGGTTCCACCTCATCCACAGGGACTGGGTCTCCTCTCCTAGCAGCCCCCCTTACCAAGCACGAGTAGACACGATCTTGGCCCCATTGGTCTCCATGGAATAGCGGGTGCAGGGCAGGATAGCGAAACCACTTTCGGGCAGGAAGGCTCGGAGGTAGCGAAAAATCTGAGTGAAGGAACAAGGAGTTGAATATGCCAGACACGAAGGACCCTCCCCCTGGGGCAAGGCACCCTGTTCTTGGGGCAAGATCTACTCTGTCGCTGATTGCGTGGTCTGGAACCTTTCAGGGTCTCCTGTCCTCATCTGTCAAAGGAAGAGGGTTGGACTTACCTCAGAGCCCCCCACCACCCCATATTCTTCTAGGATGCTGAGCCTTGCAGGGCACTCCTAGGGACAAGGCTCTCCAGGACCCTGGGGGGCTGGGCTGAGGGTTCTACAGAGTCTGCAGGTCAAGTGGGGAGGGCACAGCACAGGGCAAGGGCTCCCTCACGTGGGTCTTGAGGGCAGCCTCCTGCCGAGGGTCCCGGTTCTGGAAATAGTGGGTCATCCAGCCTCCCAGCGTCAGGGCCCGGTATGCAGCCTCCAGGTCCCGTTGCCTTAAGAAGGCTTCCAGTGCTGAGCGAAGGTGGTGTTGTCGTCGCAGGGGGGGCACAGGGCTGTTAAGAGGGCATGCCTGAGTTCTAGGGCCTTCCCTGCCCTGCCCCCAACCTGAAGCCATGTGGAGGCCATGCCGAGAATTACAAAAGAACAAGAGAAAGGGTCTGAGACCCAGGTCTGCTCTCACCGCCCCCCCCCAGGCCCCCTCACCTGACGTTCATCTTATGGGTGCGGAAGCCGAGGTAGGGGTCAAGGACAAGGCTGGTAGCCAGGTCATCATTTTCGCACAGTTCTCGGGCTGTCACTCTTTCAGGCCCCATGGTGCTTGGAAGATCATGCTGCCTCTAGCACAGAGTAGGGACATGGGTTGGATGTATACTCTGCCATTCAGAAGCTGTGTGAGATGCCCGAAGACCCCACGGTCTACTCATCTGTAAAAGAGCACAGGAAAAGGCAATCCTGACGTCACAGTGGCTGTCTTCAAGGATGACATGCAACAGGTACTTTTGTTGGTACGGAAACCCCACAGGAAACTAGTTCTCTAAAGCACTAAGCACCTTCCTCCCCTCATTCTGCAACACAGATACATGTACCTCAGTCTCACTCACACACACACACACACCTCTCCCCAGGGTATGTACTTGTTCATGGACGCTGGCAAACAGAGACCATCCTGCCAAGCACACGGTGAAGAGAAGCCCGCCTGCACCCAAGGGAAGGGAGATTAATTGGCAGTCTGGGATAACCCTAAAGGCTTAGTGCTGCAGGAGGGAGTTGGGAGAGCTGGGCCTCATCAGGGAGATAGAAAAAATTCAGTATTTCTTAGCTTCTACCCTGCCTTTGCCATTCCTCGCAGGGCTGAGACTGTCTTCACCACCTCCCTCCAAGGCCACCCTCCCCTGTGGAGTGGTCAAAAGGCTCTGGGTGTAGCCCAGGCAGCCTGGAGGGGGGTGAGGGGAGGAAGGATTCCAGCAAAGGGGAGAACATCAAGAGGACAAAATGGGGGTGGGCAGATTATATGGAGAGATAGGGCAGGTCAAAAGGAAAGGAAATGAGATTTTAAAAAAAACAACCGAATTCAACACTGAGGAATAGGTTACCCTGTACCCATACTATGGTGTGTCTGGCCCATGTGCACACTGGGAGAAGGCTAGATAGAAATCAGTAAGGGGAGGAGAGTGGCAGAGCCACCTAGGAGAGAGATCTGGAAAAGATGGGAACTCTGGGTCAAATGAAGAGGGTGCTAGGAAAACCCTGGAAGCTGAGGAGGACCGTGGGGGATGGGGAGGATAATTAAATAAAAACGCAAGGAACGGGGGGAGGGGGGCCGCTTGGTGTGAAGGGAGGGAAGGGCTACAAAGGGCTGGATGTCAGGAAGGGCTGGGGGACGGAAGGGGTGCCTGCCGGTGCAAGGGAGGAGCCCACAAAATCCAGGGGTCTAGCCTGGGGGTCCAGGGATGGTGACTGGGGGGGGGGCGGTTGAGCTTGGGATCGCAGGACCTGGCAATGAAAGCAGAGAAAGGCCTGGGGAGAAGGGCCTTGGGATCCCGAGCAGGGTTTGGGGAGAAAAGTCCTGGGAAACCTGGAGGGGTGAGAGCCTAACAGACCTTAGGAGGTCCGAAGCAAAGAATACTCTGGGGAAGGTTCTAGAAGGGGGCTGGGGGAGGCCGTGAGAGTCAGGAGAGTGAGCCAGGGGTCAAGAGGTGCCCCGAGAGTACCAAGGCGAAGCCTGGGGTTTCAGGAAGAGATGTTAGGGCCAGGCCTAGGTAGTGCAGGGAGAGGACCAGGCAGTGAGAGGCGGATCCGAGGGGACCTGGGGTGCAAAGAAAGACGCGGGAGTGAAAGCGGGGTCTGGAAGGGCTGCGGGGAGTGCAGGGAAGCGCCGGGAAGGGAGCCCCGGCGCGACTAGCGCGAGCCCGCGCGCCGGGAGACTTGGGCGGCCAGGAGTGAGGACGGGCCCGGGGACAGCCGGGGCGGGGGGCGACCCGGAGGCCAGGCGGCACGGGGCGGGGGCCGAGAGGGTGCTCAGAGGTCGGGCCCCGCGCCGCCCCTCACCCGCTTCTCCTCCTCCTCCTCCTCCTCCTCCTCCTCAGGCGCCCGCGCTGCTGCCGCCACCACCTCCCACCGCCTCCTCCAGCTCTCATCAGACTCAGTCGCCGCGCCTCCCCTAGGCTCCGCGGCCTGCCGCTCCACCCCGCCCCGCCACGGCCGACGCAGAGTCCTATTGGTCCATCCCCCTGTCAGTCTTCCGTTTGCTCTGGCCCTTGCTTCGCTCCTATTGGTTAGCTGGCGTGCCTCTCCTTTCTGCACCCTCCCCTTCCCGCGGCCTTCAGCGCCCGGACAAAACCCCACCACGCCCGTGCAGCCCATAAACCAAACCAACTGCAGCTAGTGGCCTGTAGCGCTGTCCTTCAGGCGTTGCCATAGAGACACATCCCGCCCCTCCCCTCTCCTAGCGGCGCTGCCTGAAGCCAACGAACCCCTCATTGGCTAAAAGCGCCATCGCTCGGAACGCAACTCAGTTTGAGACAGGTTATACAGTTCCAAGTGGAAAGAGGGCGGGCTCTGCTGGATCCAGCGTTCATATATGATTGGCTGGCCGTAGGACGCCCCGAGTTCCCATTGGCTAAGGCCTCTTGTCTGTCATCATAGAGTGGCGCCCTTTATTCTCGTTCAGCGGCTGGAGGGCGAAATCCCTAGCGAGTCGGGGAGGGAATGGGGGAAGGAGGGGCGTGGGGGGTGGGAAGGGGACCACGCGCGTCTCCACTACCCACCCCGTGCGGTTGCCAAAGCAACAAAACTTTATTGACAGCCCGGCTTGGCATGAAGGCTTTCTTTTATCTCTCTCTCCCAAGCCACTGTCCCTTCCTCTCCCAACGATTCCTTTTGTTTTGGAGATATCACCCACGAGCACTCTGAGGTTTTCTTGTCTTATAAACAGGTCGGAAAGGGGGGACACAGAAGCAGGGACTTTGGGGAAAAGCCCCGACTCCTGGGGCGCTCCCAGGGGGAACCCCCCGTAATTAGGATTACCCCCTCTTCAATCCTAGAGGCAAATGTAATTAGCAGTTCATTACGTCCAAACAAATAAGCTCTACGATCGGAGCAGGCGGTCTTTGTTTTTGTTTCCTACGAGTTATTCGATGGGTTAGAACAATGCACACTGGCACAGACTGTTGTTATATATCGAATGAACAACCAATAGAAATAAGGCTGCGAGCAGTGAGCCTGCTCAGCGGGTAAAAGCGCCTGCCGCCAGCCATGAGGACCAGGGCTCGATCCCCAGAGTCCACATGGTGGAAGGCGAGAACTCTGACCTCCACATGCATCCAGAGGCATGGGCGCTCTCTCTCTCTCTCTCTCTCTCTCTCTCTCACACACACACACACACACACACACACACACACTAAATTTTAAAGAGAAAGACTGAAGTTTTTGCACTGCTCTAGGACCTCAGGGAAAGCTACTTGTGTCTCTTTAAAAAATACTCAGCCGGATGTAGTGGCATAAGCCTTTAATCCCAGCACTTGGGAGGCAGAGGCAGGTATATCTCTGTGAGTTCAAGGCCAGCCTGGTCTACATAGTGAGTTCTAGGACAGCTGGGGCTACAGGGAGACCCTGTCTCAAAAAAGACCAAAAAGAGACTTACTTAATTTTATGTGTCTGAGTGTTTTGCCTGTATGTATGTAAGCGCACTGTGCAATTCCCATAGAGGCCATCTGTAAAACAAACATCACATACTGGTTCAATTTGAAGTTTTTAAGGCTGTGTTTATCACCTTTAATCCTTGCTGAATGCTAAGACACCTCTCTAAACCCAAGTACCTCTCCAGATAAAGGTAACTACACCTTCTTTGGGCGCCACCGGGTTGACCAAACCTGGTGCTGGCAGGCCAGACTTAGGTCTGGGTCTAAGCTGAAGCAACTCCTTAGCATGGTGACCCCCCTGCTGTAACTCCTTTGGTCATCTGCCTAGGAGAAATAGGCAGCCAGATTCAGAAGGTACTGTACACCTGTAAGGTGAGCATTTGGGAGGTGGAGGCAGACAGATCAAGACTTCAAAGTCATCATTGGCTACATAATGAAATAGAGGCCAGCCTGAGTTAAAGGAAGCCCTGACTCAAAATAATAATAATAATAATAATAATAATAATAATTAATAATAATAAAATACCCCACAAAACCCTCAAAAATTAAAATTAAAAAAGAAGGGGCTGAAGAGATAGCTTGGGTTAAAACTGGCTGCTTTTACAGAGGACCTGGGTTCAGTTCCCAGCACTCAATGGCAGCTAACAACCATCCTTAACTCCAGTTCCAGGGGACTAGATGTCCTCTATTGCACAACATTCATAAACCTAAAATAAAAATTTTAAAAGACACTTAAAAAAGATTGTCAACTAGCTCCAGAGGAGAGAAGCAAAGAAAAGTAACCAAAGAGCATGCAGAACTCTAAAAATATGTGACTTTTAAACAGCCCTCATACCTGGGATCAACACCCTGGAGAAACTGTCACATGGATCAAAGAGATAAGAATGCTTGCTACAGTAACTGAAAACCTGAAGTGCCCCAACATCAACACATGAAAAATGGGCAAATGGGCCACAGTACATTCCCACAGAGTCACACCGCTAGACAGTGGGAAAAGATGAATTAACAGCAATTAACCACCTAGAAAATCCCATAGCATAAGCTGTCCAAAATCTATGCAGTCCAATGCCACAAAGGTTTATTTATTTATTTACTTAACCCAGCACTTGGGAGGCAGAGGCAGTTGGATCTCTGTGAGTTCGAGGCCAGCCTGGTCTACATAGTGAGTTCCAGGACAGCTGGGCCTACAGGGAGACCCTGTCTCAAAAAAAAGACAAAAAAAAATGTTTTTTATTATTTTTGTTTTATGTGTATGTGTGCATTGCCTGCATGTATGTGAGTGCACCTGTGTCGTGCAATGCAATGCCCACAGAGGATGGAAGAGGCTGTCAGATCCCCTGGAACTGGAGTTATGGAGAGTTGTTAGCTGCCATGTGGGTGCTGGGATCCGAACCTGGGTCTTTGGCAAGAGGAGTCAGTGTTCTTAACCCCTGAGCCATCTCTTCAGCCCCCACTTTGACAGTTTTAAAACACAGAATAAGCATTGCTGAGCCTGGGGAGATGGTTCAGTGGGTAAAGCTCTTGCAGCAAAGTGTGAGGACTAGAGTTTGGATTCTGAGCATCTACATTAGTGCTGGGCAGGTGTGGTGTGTGAGCCCAGCCCTTGGGAGGAGCCCTGGAAGAAGCTGGTTAACTAGAGTAGGCAAATCCACAGGCTCTTGGTTCAAGAGAGAGACTGGCTTAGTAAATAAGATGGAGAAGACTGGTGGGATGCTTCTGCAGGTAAAGGCGTTGGTCCCAGTCATCTAATGTTTAACAAATGGTGTCACAGACATACATTGGAGAAAAGACAATCTCTTCACCAAATGGTGTTGGGGATACTGAATTTCCACATGTAAAAGAATGAAATTAGGGGCTGGAGAGATGGCTAAGCAATTAAGAGCACTGGCTGCTCTTGCAGAGGACCCAGGTTCAATTCCAAGCACCCAAATGATGACCAACAACTGTCCATAACTCCAGTTCCAGGAGATCCAATGCCCTCTTCTGGCTTCCATGGGCATTGCATGAGACTGCTACACCTACCTACATGCAGGCAATACATTCATACACATAAAAATAATAAACAAGCTGGGCGTGGTGGTGCACACCTGTAGTCCCAGCACTTGGGAGGCAGAGGCAGGCGGATCTCTGTGAGTTCAAGGCCTGCCTGGTCTACATGGTGAGTTCCAGGCCAGCTGGGGCTGCAGGGGGACCCTGTCTCAAAAAGACCAAAATAATAATA